GGTCCGATGTTCACAATAGTTCAACATAATTTGTGGGTGAACACTTAAGAAAATCTCCGCGTCTCTTCTTAATCAGTTCATCTAAATACGAACCGATTAATAACCACGTCTTATGTTGAACATTTATGTTGAACATTTTTGTTCAACAGAAACTGAAGTAGTCACTTACACTGCCTAAGAAAAAATTGAACTCTTCCCAAAGACCTCATCACCTATACTTTCCGAACCGTTCAACTGAACAAAGACCATACAATTATCGATCTTGCCGAACGGTTCAGTTCAACAAATCCCATGTCTCTCATTAAAACAGCCGAGCCAAAACGCTTCAATTGAACATGAACACAGGATATAACATTGCAATCCTTTGAATGAATTAACTGACGCCACACTACCCCGGAAAATCAAATCAAATTGGATTCTGTTTGGGCTTGAAGAAGTGCCTGTTAACGATCACCCAATTGTATATAGGATTTCAGACGAACTATTGTGCATGTTAGTGCCCGGGTGACTGATTCTTAAGATACGCGCAGGCGACTGGGGAGCGCCCTGCGCATCTCTGCTTGGCGCCCTGCGCATCTCTGCTTGGCGCCCTGCGCATCCCTGCTTGGCGCCAAGGAACAATGGTTCTCCAGCGAGACCAAAGCGTAAGTTTTCGTTGGTTATTTGACCAGTTTGAAGACCAAGGTCGAGATTCACGAAAGCACTTACGAAAGCACTTACGAACGTGTACATCTTTCCTCAATCTTTGACGGATTTGGTTACATTTATTAAACAGTTTACAAGCATGAAAACTTCCAATTCAACTGTTGTTATTGTTATAAACAGCCTGCTGGTGCTTCGGGGCTCATTAACTGTTTAATAATGATAAACAAAGCCGCCAAAGATTGAGAAAAGATGTACAGGTTCGTAAGTGTTTGCCTAAGTGCTTTCGTGAATCTAGCTCCCCAGGAGGCGTCGTTTTCGTTATAATTCGGCGGCAGTTAGCCTACTCAGCTCTTCCAATATCTCACAAAACACTCGATATGAAGATAGAGAAACGTTTTCAAAACGTTTCTTCTTGCTATTTCACATACATGTATTTCCAATTATTTTAGTACGTCAAGACGTCATAGCCAGCCCAACAGGGCTCGCCTCAAGGAACATCAAGGTCGATCCTTGTCGAACAAGAATACTGAAAACTTCCAAGGATAAAAATTAATTCATCTCCACTACATATATATATATACATCTGTTTGTACAATTAACTGTTAGTGCCATTTTTCGTCTTAGTAAAATGCTGCTGGGCCCGTTCTATTAAAATATTAGTTAGAATTAGAAATGAACTATCAAGATCATTCACACTACATTATCCTAGGCATTCATTCTATGATTGCTCTCTCTCTCTCTCTCTCCATTAGAAAATAACAATTGGGGACACACACACACACACACACACACACACACACACACACACACACACACACACACACACACACACACACACACACACATATACACACACTCACTCTCTCTTAACTAGTGTGAACTATTTACAAGGCAATGACCTAACGCAAATGTATACAATAATATTACCAGAGCAGAGAAAGCGTGGGGCAGAAAGTACTATTTTCACTAATAGAACACTCTCCAGTTTTCTCAATTCTTGCCTTATGAAAAGTATGAATTATAAATCTCAACATAATTCCTGGTTCTTATAATCATCCCTGAATGCAAATATTTTTGGTTTTGTTTTAAGTAGAAAAATGTCAATTTGGTTTTTGTTTAGCCATTTCAGAAAAAAGGGGGGCCAACAGATTTTTAAATGGGAATGCGGGTGTATAGATGTATGAGGGTGAAGGAGATAGCAGCAGCAACAGGAGGGAGGAGTGCGGTAGGTTGCTTGACAAACTGCCTCCAACGACACCATCCGACAGTCGTAATGGCTCCGTTGGTCTGCATGGCGGCTGGCATCTCTCCTGTAAACACCGAGGACGGATTAGTTGATTTATAAGTAATTGATACGATATCGCAGCAACTAGGTCGTTATAGGTGATAATATGGTAATGAGTGTTGCAAATTTTCTAATGAGTTGTGAATTTTCGGCGCAAACATCTTTATCTAACAGCTCCTCTACTATTTCTTAACACTCTTATGTCTCCTCTACTGATAATTGTCTTCTGGCTCCTCTACTATCCCACGAGAACAAGAAGGCCATTATTTTCCCCAAGAGAGAGCAAAAAAGTCCACTTATTTCCCCCATGTAAGAATTTCCACAACTGGGAGACTTTCTGTCCAAAAAGTCTCCTAGTCGAGAAGAAAAACTCACTTATTATTATTTTTTTATATACATCTGAAGGAAACTAACAAACCTTTCTGCCCTTAAGAATAAAAAAAATATGTATAAATTACGTACCACAATGGACGGAAACAACCAGACAATGGTAAAAGCTACTGCAATAGACAGAAACATCCACAATAGACAGAAAAAACTTCAATAGACAAAAACTACAATAGACAAAAACTACAATAGACAAAAGCTACAGTGGAAAGAAACAGCCTCAATGGACAGAAATAACCATGAAAAAAGACAGAAACAGCCACACTAGACAGAAACAGCCACACTAGACAGAAACAGCCACACTAGACAGAAACAGCCACACTAGACAGAAACAGCCACACTAGACAGAAACAGCCACACTAGACAGAAACAGCCACACTAGACAGAAACAGCCACACTAGACAGAAACAGCCACACTAGACAGAAACAGCCACACTAGACAGAAACAGCCACACTAGACAGAAACAGCCACACTAGACAGAAACAGCCACACTAGACAGAAACAGCCACAATAGACAGAAACAGACAGAAACAGCCACACTAGACAGAAACAGCCACAATAGACAGAAACAGCCACAATAGACAGAAACAGCCACACTAGACAGAAACAGCCACACTAGACAGAAACAGCCACACTAGACAGAAACAGCCACACTAGACAGAAACAGCCACAATAGACAGAAACAGCCACACTAGACAGAAACAGCCACACTAGACAGAAACAGCCACAATAGACAGAAACAGCCACAATAGACAGAAACAGCCACAATAGACAGAAACAGCCACACTAGACAGAAACAGCCACAATAGACAGAAACAGCCACACTAGACAGAAACAGCCACACTAGACAGAAACAGCCACACTAGACAGAAACAGCCACACTAGACAGAAACAGCCACACTAGACAGAAACAGCCACACTAGACAGAAACAGCCACACTAGACAGAAACAGCCACACTAGACAGAAACAGCCACACTAGACAGAAACAGCCACACTAGACAGAAACAGCCACAATAGACAGAAACAGCCACACTAGACAGAAACAGCCACAATAGACAGAAACAGCCACACTAGACAGAAACAGCCACAATAGACAGAAACAGCCACACTAGACAGAAACAGCCACACTAGACAGAAACAGCCACACTAGACAGAAACAGCCACACTAGACAGAGTAAGATTTTTTATTATTTTAGAAACAGCTCTTTATTTCTAATGACGTTCAGCTCATCAGTTCAGACTCAGGAAACCCCATTGTTCCTTGAGCACTTGGGGAGGAGAAAGAGAAGGTTTGGGGGGAAGATACACGTGTCAGAAAGCTGACACGCCAACAGTTATAGTCCATATCAGATTAACCACATAATGAAGCAGGGAAAAATAAAAAGCTATGCTGCCACTGGAAAAGATCAAAATGGAGACATATTCACGACATTCAAAATGCCCAAGAAACAAGTGTGTGTCAAGAAACCCACTACCCCATCAGTCCATGGGGGCAGGATGAGGTTGAGGAGGAGAAATTAAGGAGGTTAAACAAAACAGAAGAGAGAAGAAAGAGAAGGTTTAAGAGAGTGGGTGTAGAGAACAGGAAGAGAGAGAAGGCAGGGAGTGAGTAATGGAAGGGAAGGTGGTACGTGGGAGGGGAAAGTGGGACATGTTAGGGAAGGTGTAACATGGGAGGGAAGGCAGAACATGGGAGGGAGTCAGGGGTCGAGGTGATGGAGCGTCTCACCTTGATGGGAGAATCAATATACACAAATGGAGGAAAGGTGTAGAGGGGAGATTTACACACACCTTGTCAGTCATTGTTGGGGGAGCTGGGGAAAGGGAAAGGAGAGTTGGATGGGAAAGGAGAGGGGAAGGGGGGAAAGATAAAGAGGAAATAGGGATAGAGAAGAGAGAGGAGAGGTAAGAGAAGGGAGAGTGGGAGGGGGGAAAGGAAAGGGAAGGATATAGATTAGAAACAGTAAAAGGAAGAGAAAAGGTACAATAGGGGGATAAAATAATGGGGGCAAAGGAGCTAAGGTTAATGGGTTTGAAGGAAAGTATAAGGGGACATGTCTTCAAATAAAAAGAGTTAGGACAGGAATGAGTTATAAAAGTATATTAAGAGTCTGGACATTGCTAACCACCCCTTCTGTCCGGACGCTGGTAACGACCACCGCCAGCGCCACCGTGGCTCTGGTGGCCAGCCTTGGAAACACAGGTGGGCTCTTCTAATTGTGTTTCCTCCTTATTTACTGCCACATCATCTTGGTACTGGGAGAGGTAAAATGGCACGGTCGTTCTGGACGGAGAGAGAGAGAGAGAGAGAGAGAGAGAGAGAGAGAGAGAGAGAGAGAGAGAGAGAGAGAGAGAGAGAGAGAGAGAGAGAGAGAGAGAGAGAGAGAGAAGGCAGAATGAGAATGAAAATCAAACGCGCGTCCTTGGAGGAGAAAGCAGAAGAACGAGAGGTAGAGAGACAGAAAAAATAATGGAATAAAGGTGGAAGGAATATGAGGTTGAGGGAATGATCTTGAGAGAAGGGAAAGATGATATATACAGACTCATGAGCTTAGGTATAGCAGCCTTTCTATGTGTTTTTTCAACTTTTCCTCATTTTTTCTACAATTATGCACCCACCTCCCAGTAAGGAGTATTTACAACAAAACGAATGAGGTTTAATACCAAGGGACGCTTGAGTACGTGAATATTACCAGAGACGAAGTAAGGAAGCATTTGCTGCAACTGTTTGCGAAGCACCACTGGAACGGCATTCGAAACACCACTGGAACGGCATTCGAAGCACCAATGGAACGGCATTCGAAGCACTTACCGGAACTGCACACAAAGAACTTTCTGGAACTGCATACGAAGTACTTACTTGAACTGGATACACAGCATTTACATAACTGCAAATGCAACAGTTTCTAGGATACATTCAACTTACTAGATCTGCATGCAAAGTACTTGCTGGAACTGCATGTGAAACTCCTACTGGAACTGTACACGAAGCACTTGCGGAACATTTGTTCGAACTGCAAATGATTCAATGGCTGGAATTGGGTACGAAACTTTTCCTGGAACTGGATATGAATTACTGGGGGGAACTGCACACTAAACACCTGCTAGAACTGTATACAAACCATTGCTGGAATAGCGTAGAAAGTACTTGATGGAACAGCATACGAAGCACTTGCTGGAACTGGATACTAAACATTTGCTGGAACAGCATATGAAGCACTTCTCGAACATGATATGAAGCACTTGCCGGAACACCATACGACGCACTTCATGGAACTGGATACAAATCACTGGGTTGAAATTGCATACGAATCACATGCTGGAAATGAATACGGTAAAGTCCGCATGGGAACGAATACCTCACCGTAGGTAATATGCGATTCTCTGACGCCCTGTGTACCCCCATAGACAACCAGCAAGTCACTGTAAACGGGAGACTTTCCGTAATGTTAGCAGACAGCCAACGTAGCACAAATATCCCCCCTCCAAAAGGCAAACCAGCGGTGTTAAATCACAGACCAGTGTCTTTTACATCCACACCATGCGAGCCGATGGAAGGAATAGCACGATAAAAGGCTACCGGACCATCCGAAGAGACGTGGGTGTCCAGGACAACACCGACATGGGTTCAGGGCTGGAAAATGCTGCCTCACAAACCAGATAGAAATCAATACCAGAGCATCATAAATCAGACAAGGAATGGGCAGGCTGCGTATATCTGGATTGTCAGCGAGCTTTTGACGTTCTCTTCCTGAGACCAGTGTACAAGCTGGACATTGGAGGTACTACAATGGGTACCGGAATTCATAAGACTAGATTCACCTTGAATAGTCATAAATGTGGCGAGATGGTAGGTCCTATTCTATGTCTGCATGATGTGAATGATCTGCTAGAAAGTATATATAGACTTCTTATCATTATTTATTGATTTAGTAACAATTATGAAGATGAATTCGAAGGAACACTAAGAAGCGACAGAAAGACCTGCACAAGCTTTGAGGCAAGCATGTCAAGTGGAGGTTAGAGTTCAACTCCAGCAAATGTAATGTAAGGAAGATGTGTGTTAGGTTCAAGAGCCGAATACAAGATAGCAACAGAGTTGCTATCTCGCTAAACAGTTGCTAAGCAGAGTTGGTTAACAACAGAAGTGCCTTCAGATAAACAAGGAATCATTCAAGGCAATATACGACATACATGAGACCAGCCTTGGAATATGCAGCGCCAACAGTTATAGTCCATTTCAGATTAACCACATAATGAAGCAGGGAAAAATCCAAAGCTATGCTGTCACTGGAAAAGATCAAAATGGAGACATATTCACGACATTCAAAATGCTTAGGGGATTTGACAAAGATTTCCAAGGGAAAGTTCTATGACACGAACGAGGAGACAGATAATCAATAAGTACTCAAATTAACCCAAGGAATAGTAGAAGACATTCATCGTTTAGTACAAACAGTGGAATATATATATTAGAGATGGAGGTTGACTGAGGGCTGAGAGGAGGGGGCCAAGAGCTGAGATTCAACTACTACAAGCATACACTGCATTCCTATTCTGCATCCTGCTCTGTCCACCCTCTTCTCTATCCCCCCGACCCATTCCACCCGCTCCCCCCCCGTACTGATGAAGAGATGAGCTAGTGACAAATGAATAAAAATTATCCCATTCATAGTCTGACGTGAACAGAGGGAAGGGGAAGGTGTGGCCCACCCCCAGGACACAGGAGGGGGAGGTGTGGCCCACCCCCAGGACACAGGAGGAGAAGTGTGGCCCACCCCCAGGACACAGGAGGGGGAGGTGTGGCCCACCCCCAGGACACAGGAGGGGAAGGTGTGGCCCACCCCCAGGACACAGGAGGGGAAGTGTGGCCCACCCCCAGGACACAGGAGGGGGAGGTGTGGCCCACCCCCAGGACACAGGAGGAGAAGTGTGGCCCACCCCCAGGACACAGGAGGGGGAGGTGTGGCCCACCCCCAGGACACAGGAGGGGAAGTGTGGCCCACCCCCAGGACACAGGAGGAGAAGTGTGGCTCACCCCCAGGACACATGAGGGGAAGTGTGGCCCACCCCCAGGACACAGGAGGAGAAGTGTGGCCCACCCCCAGGACACAGGAGGGGAAGTGTGGCCCACCCCCAGGACACAGGAGAAGTGTGGCCCACCCCCAGGACACAGGAGGAGAAGTGTGGCCCACCCCCAGGACACAGGAGGGGAAGTGTGGCCCACCCCCAGAACACAGGAGAAGTGTGGCCCACCCCCAGGACACAGGAGGAGAAGTGTGGCCCACCCCCAGGACACAGGAGGGGAAGTGTGGCCCACCCCCAGAACACACTAGGAGAGGTGTGGCCCACCCCCAGGACACAGGAGGGGAAGTGTGGCCCACCCCCAGAACACACTAGGAGAAGTGTGGCCCACCACCATAACACACTAGGAGAGGTGTGGCCCACCACCAGAACACACTAGGAGAGGTGTGGCCCACCACCAGAACACACTAGGAGAGGTGTGGCCCACCACCTAAATACGAATGAATGCTTCAGTTTACTCATGACGTCACTAAAACATAACCAGTGATTGGTTAATTGAACTCATGACGTCACTAAAGGATATAACCAATGGCTGATGTTCCAAACTTCAGGACCAAATGTTTGAACCAATAGGAGCAGCAAGTAAACAAATGCGACGGTGTACGATGTCTCACATAACTCGAGGTGGAAGACGACCAATGGTCCCATTAGGCATGTGGTTGACGACATATTGAAGAAAACGACCATTTCAGCACCACCTGGGCGACGGTTGGGCCATATATGTTAAGAGAGAAGAGCATTATGGTAATGATAGTAATATTTCGCCCACATAATCCCCAACACTTGGCAACAGCGCACCCCAAACGATGCTCATTTGACAATTTTTCCAGTCCATTTGTGGGCCCTGAGACGACAGTGTTGCAAGTCCATTTGTGGGCCCTGAGACGACAGTGTTGCTAGTCCATTTGTGGGTCCTGAGACGACAGTGTTGCTAGTCCATTTGTGGGCCCTGAGACGACAGTGCTGCAAGTCCATTTGTGGGCCCTGAGACGACAGTGTTGCAAGTCCATTTGTGGGCCCTGAGACGACAGTGTTGCTAGTCCATTTGTGGGCCCTGAGACGACAGTGTTGCAAGTCCATTTGTGGGCCCTGAGACGACAGTGTTGCAAGTCCATTTGTGGGCCCTGAGACGACAGTGTTGCAAGTCCATTTGTGGGCCCTGAGACGACAGTGTTGCCGGTCTAGTGTTGTCCCTCTCATTTGTCAACATAACTTAAATTCCTAGAAAAGGCTCTGAGAGGGGCGGGAACACACCAACCCTCTTTACTACCCCACAAAAGTGTCCCAACACAGAACCACGAAACACAAAAGTCCCTACAAAAGCACCACTAACCAAAATTTAAAACACCACAAACCTGCAAAACCTCAGAAAGCGCCACAAACGACAACACTAACCACGAACGAAACAGTCCTACTCACAAACCACAAAAAGCCCCTAACAAAGCCCCACAAACCACAAAAAGCCCCTAACAAAGCCCCACAAACCACAAAAAGCCCCTAACAAAGCCCCACAAACCACAAAAAGCCCCTAACAAAGCCCCACAAACCACAAAAAGCCCCTAACAAAGCCCCACAAACCACAAAAGCCCCTAACAAAGCCCCACAAACTACAAAAAGCCCCTAACAAAGCCCCACAAACCACAAAAAGCCCCACAAACCACAAAAAGCCCCTAACAAAGCCCCACAAACCACAAAAAGCCCCTAACAAAGCCCCACAAACCACAAAAAGCCCCTAACAAAGCCCCACAAACCACAAAAAGCCCCTAACAAAGCCCCACAAACCTTTTAACTCCCCTAACAAAGCCCCACAAACCACAAAACCCCCCTAACAAAGCCCCACAAACCACAAAACCCCCCTAACAAAGCCCCACAAAGGCGGACAAACGAGAGGACTCACCATTGAGGATGTGTATCCTGACGGAGGCGGTGGCGGAGTGGGAGGGGACGCAGGAGTAGGTCCCTGTGGCGGCGTCGTGGGCGTCATGGATCAGGAGGATGGTCTTGGTGATCGAGCCCCGGTCCGTGATCACGCTCACCCGACTGTCCCGGTTGTCGTAGTTGATCACCTGCCGGTCGTTACGGGTTAGGTTAAGGGGGGAGGTTGTCTGGTGGTTGGTGGGAGGTTGTCTGGTGGTTGGTGGGAGGTTGTCTGGTGGTTGGTGGGGGGAGGTTGTCTGGTGGTTGGGGGAGGTTGTCTGGTGGTTGGTGGGAGGTTGTCTGGTGGTTGGTGGGAGGTTGTCTGGTGGTTGGGGGGAGGTTGTCTGGTGGTTGGTGGGAGGTTGTCTGGTGGTTGGTGGGAGGTTGTCTGGTGGTTGGTGGGGGGAGGTTGTCTGGTGGTTGGTGGGAGGTTGTCTGGTGGTTGGGGGAGGTTGTCTGGTGGTTGGTGGGAGGTTGTCTGGTGGTTGGTGGGAGGTTGTCTGGTGGTTGGTGGGAGGTTGTCTGGTGGTTGGGGGGAGGTTGTTAGGGGGTTATCTTATGGTTGTTAGGCGTGTGGACAGTTGTTAGAGCGGTCATGTCGGTCGTTTTGGGGTTGTTAGTAGATACAGAATGACTGGATTGTTGTTAGGGGATTACCTGACGGGTGTTAGATAACAAGGTAACCCTTGCCTTGTTACCTTGTGAGTGTTCCGAGGATTAACGTCTCCACTGCCCAAGGCCCGGTTTCTGACCATACCCCTCCCCCCTGGATAGTAGTCTGGTCAACCAAACTGTTGGAAGCAGCTGCTTGGAACTTGGGCTGCTTGGATTCACAGCCTGGTTGATCAGGTATCCTTCGGAGGTGCTTCCTATCCTTTGCACATCCTGCTATGCCTCCTGGTCTCATGTGGTGTTATTTCTGTGTGCAGGTTTGGGACCAGCCTCTCTAATATTTACCACGTGTAAATTATGTATCTCTCCCGCCTTCGCTCAAGAGAATACAGATTTAGGAATTTTAATCGGTCCCAATAGTTTAGATGATTTACTGAGTGGATTCTAGCAGTAAAGGATCTCTGCACGCTCTCCAGGTCAGTAAATTATCCAGCTTTGAAAGGGGCTGTCATTGTGCAGCAGTACTCCACTCTAGAGAGCCCTAGCGTCTTGAAGAGTATCATCATCGGTATAGCATCTCTTGTTTGAAGGTTCTTGTTATAAAACCTGTCATTTTTTTGCGGTTGTGACGGCTACTTTGTTGTGTTCTTTAAAGGTAAGGTTTACTGATATAATAACTCCAAGATTCTTCACATTGCTTCTTCGTTCTACAGTGTGATTTGACTGCGTTTTATATGTGGATTCTCTTATATATTTTATTTTTTTCCATAGCGCAGGAGCAGGAACTTATCCTCATTAAACACCATATTATTTTCTTTGGCCAATTAAAAGACCTGATTTACGTCAGATTGGAGGTTTGTCGTGTTCTCTATGTTGTCTACTCTCATGAAAATCCTAGTGTCATCTGCACAGGTTAGTACGGTACTTTAGTTTATGTACTTGTCTTTATCCGATATGAGGAAAAGTACTGGAGCAATCAATTAACCTGAGGGGACTGAGCTCTTCACGGTTGATAACCCGGATTTTACTTTGTTAACTATTACACTCTGGCCTGTTAATTAGGAAACTGAAGATACATCTTCCTATCTTTCCAATAACTCTTTTTGAACGCATTTTATGTGCAATAACACCATAGTCACATTTGTCGAATGCTTTTGCAAAAAATCTGTGTATAGTACATCAGCGTTTTGCTTGTCTTCCATGGCAGCTACGGTCATGTCAGATGTAGCTTATATAGAAAGTCATAAGCACACACACTCTCTCGTTCTCTCCCGCTCTCTCTCTCTCTCTCTCTCTCTCTCTCCTCTCTCTCTCTCTCTCTCTCTCTCTCTCTCCTCTCTCTCTCTCTCTCTCTCTCTCTCTCATCTCTCCTCCTCTCTCTCCTCCTCTCTCTCTCTTTCTCACCTTGTTGTTGTGATACCAGAAGATCTCGGTGGGAGACTCAGGGTTGAAGTTGATGATACAGGTGAGGTTGATGGTTGAGCCCTGATCCACGTAGCGCTCAGCCAACCCCATGATGCGGGCCGTGGGTACTGTAGAGTAGTGGGGACGTGGTTAGTGACAGGTAGAGGTAGTTAGTGACGTGTAGGGTAGACACCTCTACTCTACACCTCAGCATCAATCAACGTATCTCTTCCAGGCAATGGTTAATCAGTCTAAATCAATATATTATTCTCAAGCCGTAAGGAGAATGAACAATAACACTTTAACATAGAGTGCTGCCATCTTGCGGGCACCTCCGTTACTGAGGTGAACCAGTTTAAGAAGGAAACAATCAAGAAACACCGGATTTTACTAAGAAATTCCGTAGGAGCCGTGATGAGGGTTCGAACCTATGTGGATGGATGTTGCCACACACCCTCTAGCCACTAGACAACGACATGGTCTCGACCAACGACAACAGATCGTCCTGTTGCCCTGGCCGAGGCAGCTTCTGTTTATATCCAATTCAGATTCAGATGAGGCTTAATGTGAACGGAATTCTAACTGGCTCCACGTGAACCTGTCCTCTCACTTAATACGTCGCATTTGTAACGGAATCGACCGTCAGTTCGCTTACGATACCCGTCTATACTATAAGAGTGACTGCCTGCCTGTCTGTCTGTTCAAATTTGGAGGCCACACCCCAGAAGGATTCGAACCCAGACAGCCTGGAGTATAATGCACCATGGCGTACCCGGTTTTGTACAGTCACGGTTGGTCGAGTGGTTAACCGGGTACGTCATGGTGCATAGTGCTCCTGGCTGTCTGGGTTCGAATCCTTCTGGGGTGTTTGAGTTTTCAGTTGCATATATGCTTGGGGGGACCATTCAAGCTATATATATATATATATATATATATATATATATAATTATATATATTATATATATATATATTATATATATATATATATAGATATATATATATATATATATATATAATCTTCATCCTGTCATCAGACGACATTTGATGGCGACTGTTTTAGACAGTAAGGGCCATAGAGGTGGAGCCTGGTCGATGAATATCACCTTTACTGCCAGCCATATTTAGCCAACATCAAAGGGCGCTACGAGACATGACTTTTAATACCATCTTGGCCCCCATGATGCCTTTTGGGGGCAAGACGGAAGCTAAATGGCTCTTTAAAAATTACGAGACTTCTACCCATTCCATAAACTAAACGAATGGCGCGCTGATAAGAATGGCGCGGAGTATTCGCTTTAGTAATTAGTAGGGTTGGTTGGTGAATGCGAGAGTACAGGTAACTGGTTCAGTGATTAGTGATCGTTCGTTTGTTCTAGGGGAGGGTAATTATGGGTTTGTTGACATATTTATGGGGGGGAGATTACAAGATGGTTTGACTTCTCTTTCTTATGGTGGTTTAGACTGAAAAATCATTCACCTGGGGGTTAATGGGTCTTGTGTTACCGCGCTGTCTTCCTTAACTAATCTTTCCTTTTTAACAACCTTTTCCACCTTTAACTAATCTGTTCATCCCTTTTACTCAACTCTCCCAACTTACCTAATCTATCCTCCGCTTCACTACCTTCTGTTTCAATTTCTTTCTCATAATTTTAATAAACCAACCTCTTCAGAATCTACTTAAAAATCTATATATAATATAGCTTACTGGAAGGTGGACTTTAGTAGTCGACAAAACCAAACAATCCAAGTTTGACCAGACCACACACTAGAAGGTGAAGGGACGACGACGTTTCGGTCCGTCCTGAACCATTCTCAAGTCGATTGTGACAATTCTCAAGTCGATTGTGACAATCGACTTGAGAATGGTTCAGGACGGACCGAAACGTCGTCGTCCTTTCACCTTCTAGTGTGTGGTCTGATCAAATTACTTTAGCCACGTTATTGTGACTCATCGCCTGCAACAATCCAAGTCTTCCTTCAATGTGTTAGTTGAACTACTGGTGGGTGGTTGCTTGATTGTCCAACCCGTCCTCTTAAAATTAACGTCACTTTTCGCTGGTATGCGTGCTATGGCCAAACGTGGACGTAATTTGAAATGAAATTGACTCACAAAAGTGACGTACTGTCCCGTTTTATGTTTGAGTCGTCCGGCTTACTCGGCAAGGTTAGAAGAGGAAACTTTCAATTAACGTTTTTCATAATGTTTTGAAACTTTATGAGAATTTCCTGCCCACCTAACCTATCAGAGGACCCTTAACTTACTGTTGTTGAAAAAAATTCCTAAATTTATTGTCATTCTTTTTCCATTTTCAAATTACGTCCATTTTCGGCCATACGGGTAAACGGCCAAAAGCGACGTTCTTAAAAAAAAAAAAAGTCCTTTTTAAGGGGACAGGTTGACGACTGATTTGTTTCTTTCGAGGATGAGGTCTTCCTTGACAATCCTAGTTTCATCCTACTTACAAATATTTAGCTTTTGATTCACGTTTGTAGGAAGCGCTAAAAAATAAAATGAAACATAATAATATGTTTCAGCGCGCAGGTCTTCAGTTCTTCAAGAACTGTTCAAAATTTATTTTTTTTGGCTCTTCAAAAACTTTTCAATTGTTTGTGTTTGTTAATCAAGAGTTGTTTTAAGAAATTTTTGATCTTCTTTTTTCCTCAAAATGTTTTGAAGAAATAGTTCATCTCTTCTTCATTTTGGTATAATCGTCCTCAGCCATTGCTTAAGAAAGTGTTAATAATTTTCAAAAATTCTTCAAGAAATTGTTCATTCCTGTTCATGATATTGTTCTACACCAGCTGGTTATGTGGTGAAGAACTACATATAACGGGTCACGAACGTGGTGGCTCAGCCTGTTCTCTTGATCTGCCATTACGTAAAAAAAAAATGCAACTGTTTTGCCTGACCAGAAAACACCAATTTTACGACGCTTTTAAGTTGTTACAGCACGTCGTATTTTGAACGTATTGGTCGACTCCGTCCGAAATGCAACGTAACAGGTTGTGCTAAACTACTTCAGATCTGACGCTTGTTAAATTGAGTGAAGGGGGGGGGGGCACCGCCTCCCATCACTCGTCTTCACAATAAGGGGGAATGGGGAAAGTTCCTCTGGAAAATGGGTCCTTTTCCTCCAAGCTTTCTATCTCGCGCGAAAGTTGGCGAAGTGGGTAGATCTTCGTCCTGGATGAAGCATGCGCTCTGATTACCGTATTAAAATGTTTTTTATTTATTCAACTCTCTCTCTCTCTCTCTCTCTCTCTCTCTCTCTCTCTCTCTCTCTCTCTCTCTCTCTCTCTCTCTCTCTCTCTCTCTCTCTCTCTCTCTCTCTCCCAAGATAGATTAACAGCTTGACTCTGATAGCTAAAAGTGAGATAAAAATGAACCAAAACTTCCAGGGGAAGCGAAAGCACTAATTGCTAAACAACCATAATTACCTCCCAGTCTAATGACTTGAACGATCAATAACAGGACTAATTAACCCGAATTACACCGTTTTGACCCCTCCGGCCCTTAATCAGCGCGTTCTGAAGTGCCTTCCGCGATGCCTTGCAAGATCCCTGAACTAGCCAGGAAAAATGTCAGCATTTCAATGTATCATTCAGCATTTCTTGGGTCGCATTTTCATGTTTTGGGATTAAAAAAAAACTGTGTTTGCGTGCTTTATTTGCTTTTGTTGTTTTCATTGCGAGTTGCTGTTATTATTTGATGTTTCATTTAACGAGTTTGAACCAGTGGCTTATAAGTAGATTGATAGACTATGAAAGCAAATGAAGATAGACAAAAGTCTTAGAATTTCTCAGAGAAAAAGAAGAAGTACCAGGGATAAGATATTGGAGGGGGGGAAGGAATCTGTATTAACTGCTTCTCTCTCTCTCTCTCTCTCTCTCTCTCTCTCTCTCTCTCTCTCTCTCTCTCTCTCTCTCTCTCTCTCTCTCTGTCTCTCTCTCTCTGTCTCTCTCTCTCTCTCTGTCTCTGTCTCTCTCTGTCTGTCTGTCTGTCTCTCTCTCTCTCTCTCTCTCTCTCTCTCTCTCTCTCTCTCTCTCTCTCTCTCTCTCTCTCTCTCTCTCTCTCTCTCTCTCTCTCTCCCATTCATACACAACCCTCACACATTAACCTAAAAAATGCGATTCTTTTACTCTGTAAATCTAATACTTCCTCCCTAGTTAACCTGGGAGCTGTCACACTCTCACCTCTCACTCTCTCTCTCCAAGGAGGGTCCCTCACTCTCTCTCCCACTCTCGAAGCTCTCACTCTCCCTCCCTGCCTCCCAGGTGCTGGGAGGACCCTCCACATAATCCCACCATTGGCTCTGGGTGATATAGGGGTCTCGCAGTGCTGGGAATTGTCTCACTCCTCACAGCAACCTCCTTGATATATGTACACCTTACTCCACTCCCTACCACGCTCTCACCTAGCGGGTCGAGCTGTAGCTCCCGGGCCCCGAACCCCCCCCCCCCCCCTGCCACGCTCTCACTTCCTGTCTCAACACAGGAGGGGCCCTGTTCACCTACATGTGTTTGAAGTTGCAACTGTTGTAATAAAGGTAGTTACAACTGCTTGTATTTGCAGTTGCTGGGCCATAGTTCTTGGGTTCCGCTTCTCAATTTTTGTTTGGTTCTGTTGGTTTTGTGTTAAAGCGAATCCAGGTTCTTGTCTTCTGATGGAGAGGAGTTCCACACACAGGGTATCCATACCAGGGGTGATCTAGTTTACAATTGTAGTTTTCTTTGGGGACATGGGTAATGGTGGTATGTGAGAGGTTCAGATGCAAAGGTTTCGGTCTGGCTGTTAGCATCTCTTGCTAAGATAACATTCTTATAATTATTCTTATTGTTATTATCATTATTATTATCATAAAATTTGTTTCACTACGCTGGCGACATTTACAACTCGTGACACAAATATTGTAGACAAGATGGAGACACTAATCTTTCAGAACAGTGAGTGTATTCACCTAGTTGTATTCACCTAGTTGTGTTTGCGGGGGTTGAGCTTTGCTCTTTCGGCCCGCCTCTCAACTGTCAATCAACTGTTTACTAACTACTTTTTTTCAACCCCCACAACACACACACACACACACACACACACACACACACACACACACACACACACCACACACACACA